CCACATTTTCTTTAGCCATTCCTCTGTTGAGGGGCACCTAGAATAAATAAATAAATAAATAAATAAATAAATTAATTAATTAATGGCTATGGTGAGTTGAGCTGTTATACACATTGATGTGGCCATGTCAATGTAGTATGCTAATTTTAAATCCTTTGGGTATCTGCTGAGGAGTGGGATAACTGAGTCAAATGGTGGTTGGATTCCTAATTTTCTGACGAATCTCCATACTGCTTTCCACGTAGTTGCACCAATTTACAGTCTCACCAGCAACATATGAGTATAACTTTTCCCCTATATCTTTACCAACATTTATTGTTACTTTAATTCTTCATAATTGCCATTCTGACTGGAGTAAAATGAAATCTCAGTGTAGTTTTAATTAGCATTTCTCTAACTGCTAAAGATGTTGAACAATTTTTTTTTTTCCATATATTTGCTGACCAATTGTATTTCTTCTTCAAAGTGCCTGTTTAGTACCTTTGCCCATGCATTGATTGGGTTATTATTTCTGTGTGTGTTAGTTTTTTTGTGTGTGTGTGTTTTTTTTATGTATCTTGGCGATTAATGCTGTATCTGAGGTGAAGGTGGCGAAGATTTTTTCCTATTCTGTAGGTTCTTTCTTCATGTTCTTGATTGTTTCCTTTTCTATGAAGAAGTTTTTTTTTGGGGGGAGGTGTCTTTTTTATTAATTAATTTATTTATTCTAATTAGGTATATAAGACAACAGAATGCATTTTGATTCATCGTACACAAATGGAGCATAACTTTTCATTTCTCTGGTTGTAAACAATGTAGCGTCACACCATATGTGCAGTAATACATGTACCTAGGGTAATGATGTCCATCTCATTTTACCATCTTTCCTGCCCCCATGCCTTCCCTTCCCCCTCTCCCCTTTGCCTAAAAGTAGTGGTTATATGGGAATTCTCGGTGCTGTATGTCTTTCTTTCTTTTTTTCCAGTAATTTTGTTAGTCAGATTTTTTACTTCTGTGACCAAAATACCTGAGAAGAATAACTTAAAAAAGGAAAAGTTTATTTTGGGCTCATGGTTCAGAGATTCAGTCCATGGTTGGCTGATCCAGTGCTCTGGGCCAGAAGAGAGGCACAGCATCATGGCAGAACTGCATGGCTGAGAAAGCTGCTAGTTCACTGCAGCTAGGAATGGGGGTGGGGAGATGAAGAATGAGAGAGAGAGAGAGAGAGGGAGAGAGAGAGAGAGAGAACACATGGGTGTGCAGGAGTAACCAGGGACAAGATATAATTCCCAAGGGTACACCCCAGTGACCTACTTCCCCCAGCTCCCTCACCCACCTATAGTTATCACCCAGTAATCCATTCAAATTATTAATCCACTAAGTGGATTAATCCACTGATTAGGTTGCAGCTGTAATAATCTTATCATTTAACCTCTGAACTTTCTTGCATTGTCTAAGATAAATTTTTTTGGGAGGGTCAATTCATAGCCAATCCATAACAATAAGTTTATTGACAAGTTCAGCATGCTGAAACATGTTTTCAAGTATCATTTCCTGTCATTATTCTTGTTTTTAGTTTGAAGGTTTTAGGCTTTCATTAGCAAGGATATCATTACAAATATTAATTAAAATTTAGTCTCATTTTGGGGGCTTGTAAATTTCACAAACTATTTTAAATAATCTTCATTTTAAATTCTTAATCTCTGCTCTATTCTTAGAATGTGACTCAATGGAAATCAAAATTTGCCGTTTGAGTCAACATATTTTTCTCAATATTATCATTCTTTTTGCTTCAAGATCCAGCAGTTGAACTTGTACCGTGTCTCTTTATTTTTACTTACAGGATTTTCACCTTTGAATGAGAACATCATCCATTTGAATGGCTAGTTGTATTAGTTCAACCACAGGGTTACAATTGTCTAGAATAAGTAATGTACTATATGAAAATGCTCTTTCTAAATCAGAATATTGAAATTTTGTCTTTTTTTTTTCTGCAATAGATTAAATTACTGAGCTTTCACTATTGACCAGACAGTGCTAAACAGTTCAAAGCCCAACATCAACTTAGTTTTTACAACAAATGAAAGGTCAGGTAACATAACCCTCTCCACAGCGTCATCTCCAGTTTACAGATGAGGATGTGGGAAAAGAAAAAGGATGAGTAGGTTGAACCCAGTTTGTTGAGTCAGAGTCCAACTCCTTATTCACCATCTCAGTAGCCTGACAATCTCTTTAACAATTTTCCTTTCTCTAAAATCAGGATGGTTCCACTTGACCAACATAGTTCATATTTTGGTGGTGAGGATTTAAGTTAAAGTAATGTAATTTTGTAACTGAAAGAAAATAAAATACTTTCCCTATAATGTTTGAGACTTAACATCTTCCTTAAGGTGCATAAATTTTTCTACATTATTCTTCCCCTGGGCTAATTTGGGGGGTGGAAGTTTAAACATGTTTAAGAAGTCCAAATTTTATATTTTGATCTCCCCAAATTCCTAAAAGTGCCACAATTACTTTTTTTTTTGAAGTTACAAAATAAGAAAATCTTCAGGAGAGGGAGGACTCCATGATTTTGGATTGAATGTATATACACAGCAAGACATCCAGTATGGTTTTCTTGTCATTTCTGAATTAATGGCTTAAAACAAAAGCCACTGATTTTACCTCCTTTTAAATGTAGAGAAGCAGCCATAGTTGGGAACAATTATTAAATACAAAGCAGGTTTGCCTTGCTCTGGTTACCACTTTAGCTCCCTGGACCTTGGACTACACTCTGACTACTACCAGAGACTGGTCAGGCAGAACACCTACACACAAGTTACATGAAGTGTGTTTATTAAAGACAGGAAGGAAGGAGGCAGGAAGGGACATCAGAAGCCTAGGATTCCTGATGAGTCTGTACCCCAAGGATCAAGAAAGCTGCCCAGGGAGAATTGAGTCTCATTTGCATGTGTCTTCCACTGAAGGTGAGGGACCCAGAAAACATCCTGGTGCAACTTGAAGTAGCAAGTACTGGGGTAAAGAAGTGAGTACCCGAGAGAGGTGGCAGTGTCAGCTGTGTGGGTGGGGGAATAGTGTCTGAAGAATACATGGCCAAATCTCAGTGAATGTTTAGGGAGCGTCCTTAGCTGAGCATTCTTTGTTATTTTTAGTTATAGATGACAGTAGAATGTATTTTGACATATATACAATACATGGAGTATAACTTCCCACTCTTGTGGTTGTACATGATGTGGAGTTACACTGGTCGTATATTCATATATGGACACAAGAATCTTTCGTCTGATTCATTCTACTATCTTTCCCATTCCCATACCTGCTTCCTTTTCCCCATTCATCTCTGTCCAATCTGGTGGATCTACACTCCTCCCCCATCCCTATTGTGAGCAGCACCCACATATCAGAGAGAATATCTGGTCTTCAGTTTTTTGGGATTGGCTTATTTCACTTATCATGATTGCCTCCAGTTCATTCTTCTTGATGCTTAGCCGAATATTCGGAGGCAGCAAAAACAGTAAGTTATGACCAGTGAGGAAGAAGATTGCAAGCTTCCTCCCAGTTCTGGCCTTTCCCCTCATCCTTTTGTCTATGATCAGAAGAGCCTGTCCAGAGCAGACAGAAGTGTGTGAGGGGTGAGCCTGGTGTCCAGCAGGTATTTCCTCAAGCTAAGCTGCCAAAGGGGAGGAAGACTTTGAGACAGACATGAGATTCAAGTTTTAAAATAAAGTGAAGTAAGCCTTAGAAATTCAAATTAGACTAAATGTAAAAAGGACAATGACCAAAAAAATTAAGGCATGTAGCCCAAAAGTCAACCGACGTTTCCCAGTGGGAAAAGGAGAAAAAGGTAGGTTATGACAAATGCAATTGTGTATATGTGTATGTATGTACGTATGTGTGTGTGTGTGTGTGTGTGTGTAATGAGTATGTATCATGTAGGCTAATACTTGAGAATTGGTTGGGATTTGGGCAATAACTGATTGGGAAACAGGAATCCAGAAGGGGAGAGTTTGAAAAAAAAGGAGAAGAATAGTACAAAATAGATTCTGGGAAGTACCAAAATAGCTTAGAGGACCACGCAGAAGTCCAGCCTGGTTGTACACTGGGTTGTATAAAAGGTATGACAAGGCTTGACGTGGTGGTGACTGGGATCCGATGCCATGCCTATTTTCCTCCCCATTCTAAACTTAACTCCAAGCTCTGGGTCAGTAAATCACTGAATGACAAATAAGTATAGGAGGGAAGTGATTGGATCACCGGGCAACTGAGTTTCTCTTTTATGTACTAAGCAATGGACAAGCCAGTAAGGATTCCGTTTTGAGAGGGTGTGTTTCAGGATCTTCAGTGCCATTAAGAAGAGAGAGTCTAGGCTGGGAGGTTGAACAACCAGTAGTAGCAGAACCTCTCTAAGAGATACATCCCAGTCTTTGGGGACAGTTTCCTTTGGGGGACCTTGGTTGATCCCCAGTGTTTACACTTGCTGAGGACTGCTTTCCACCCTTAGATTCTTTCTAGTATCTTTAATTTCCTAACCACTTAGATCACTTACTCTCCTTGAAAATCGTTTCTGTTCTGGCCGTCAAAGGAGACCGACAGTATAAGACTCCCAGGACGCCGGTCCCTGGAGCCGCCCATTCTACCTAGGACACGTGTGCTTTTTCTGGGGTCCCTCCAGAAATGGTCGATTGCACCCGCTCCTTGCCCTCCACACGACCAGGGGGCGCACTCGGTCCGGGGCCAGCCCAGTTTCCAGGCGCACGCCCTCTCTCGCCGCGCAGGGCTAGGCCTCATCCTTGGGCCCAAAAGCCGCGTCAGAGCTCCACGCCAGCCAATCAGAATTGTCCATGTACTAACGGAGGCGGGGCCGCTAAGGGAGGAGGAAGATGGCGGCGGGGGCGAGGTGAAGTGTTGGCAGTGGAAAGGGGTTCGGGCGCGGGGGGCGGGGGGACGCGGAGTGATGGCCCGCGACGGCAGCAGGGGAGGATAAAAAGCCATCACGCCGCGGGTGTGGGTGGGAGGGAGGGGTGGGCGCCCGAGCGCCACAAGAGTATGACGGGGCTGTACGAGCTGGTGTGGCGGGTGCTACACGCGCTGCTCTGCCTGCACCGCACGCTCACCTCCTGGCTCCGCGTTCGGTTCGGCACCTGGAACTGGATCTGGAGGCGCTGCTACCGTGCCGCCTCCGCCACGGTCCTAGCGCCGCTCGGCTTTGCGCTCCATAAGCCCCCGGCAGTAGGCAGGAACCGCCGTCACCACCGGCACCCGCGCTGGGGGCCGGGTCCGGCCGCCGCCCACCCCCGGCTGCGCTGGCGCGCGGACGGCCGTTCCCTGGAGAAGCTACCTGTACATATGGGCCTGGTGATCACCGCGGAGGAGCAGGAGCCCAGCTTCTCGGACATCGCGAGCATCGTGGTGTGGTGTATGGCTGTGGGGATCTCCTACATTAGCGTCTACGACCACCAAGGTGAGGCATGGTGGTGGGTGGGCTGCCAGAGACATCGCTGACCTCCAGCACCCACTATTTGGCAGGTGTGCCCAGGGTACGCGCATACGGTCGCTCTCCCGGCCCTTCTGTGCAAATCACAGTGACAGAGCTTTCGAGGAAGGGAGCTTTATTGAACACCTATTAAGTCCCTGGATTAGATTCAGTAACTTAATACTTAAAAAAATGTGTCATTATTTACAATATCCCAGTAAGATAGATGGTTTTTGTATACCTTTGTTTCACAAAAGAGGGACTTGAAGTTCAAAAACATTAACTGATTAATCCAAGGTCACAAAGGTAGTACAGGGGAAATTGGAATTTTAGCCAGTTACCCTTTGGTTACACTTCACTTGTTTCCCAAAGAGTTTCGAGGCACTGCTCTTAATTGCAGTCAGGCTTTGTGGTAAGTGCTGGAAATGGGAGTGGTAGGGGCCAGATATCAGTTGACCCAGTCTTATGAAAATTGTGATAGAAATTGAGTAGGCACCAAGGACAGTGGTTCCCTTCTGTCTTTGGAAGCCTGGGATCCTGTGTGATTCTTGGTCCTCAGTGACCAGGACAGTGCTTGATAGGATTGTCCCTCCATAAGTTTTGATTGAGAGAATGAACTTCAACACAGGCAATTTTTATAAGTACAGAAATTCAACACTTATTGCGTGAAAACAAGCCCAAAACACTGTGCCAGACATTCCTTGGAATCTTGCCTTTAATTTCATGGCTTCTCAGGCTTGGGGAGAAAAGTACATACGTAGGTGACATGGGGCATTTTTTGAGTAAAGTAACTACTATGAGAAGAGAGGAGAGAAATTCTGAGTGGAGGAACTTGAGAGTTGCATAAAGAGGAGATGGGATTTGAGCAGGCTATTGAAAAATATCTAATTTATAAGGTTGAGGAGGGCTCTAAATGTCAGGTTTGGGTTTTAATCAAATCCTGACTGCTTTGGTATTTTAACTCATTTTGTCCCATTGTCCCAGATGTTAAAAATGCATGAAAACTTCAAATGAGCAACAAGTATACCACTTATGGTCACTTTGAAATAATGATTATGTTTATAGAGGTCTATTCTTTTGAGAAAAGTAACAGAAGAATGATTAGAGCATTTAAAAAATACATAAAGGATATAGGTTATGATTTAGGTTATGATTTCCAACCTATTTTAAATAAAGTATTCACAAAATTGAAAATTTGGGACTTAATGGGTTAATGATAAAGGTGATGGTTTTGGAGTACTGGTATGGAGGAAAGAAAATGAATGTTTTATTCTCTGTTCAATAACATAGATTACCTGTGTGCTCTAAAGAAGCTACAACTTGATTTTTACTTTAAAATCTTCATCATATAGGTAGATTTAAGTGCAGGGTTTCTTTAGGATAAGTAGTAATCTCTGACTGCCCTATCATCTTCCTTGCTGTCAGCAAGGAATATGATTCAGTATCCTATCATCATCCAATGATGATTTGCCCTATAGGGTAAGGTTTAATATAGCCAGAGACAGACATTATAGAACTTGCTAAAAAAAAACAAAACAACTCAACAGACCAATAGAGATTGTCAGGAGATGATACAATCATTGCCTAAACCAATGTAATCCATATTATCTGGTTAATAAAATAAAGTGAATTAGAAATGGAAATTAAAAATATTGAGCAGTATGCTGGATTGACTTATATCCAAGTGATTCTTTTAAATCAAGTACCTTTATCTTCCTATAGGGGAGGAAAATGTATAGTTAAATTGTTTGACTTTGTGACTATCTCCTAGCTCAGGTTATAATATTGCCACACTTCCTTGTTCCGGCAGTTCCTGCTATTGAATTTCTGATGTGATTCATACATATCTTGTGTCATACTGGCTAAAAGCAAAATGATTGGTAATGAAAAGGTAGAAGTCAAATTGAACCATGTTTTAGCTGAGAACTAAATGGAGGTTTAAAGATTAGAGAATTTTGTGTCCTACTCTAAAAGCAGGTTTTATTATTATTATTATTTAAAGAGATGAAGACAGTTTCACTGCTTGATTAAGAGACCTTCAATTTATCAATTTTGATTAATTCATTCACCAGTTTACAGTTGGGTATCTAAGTACCAGATATTCTTCCAGGCATGGGCATGAAGAAATGAACAAAATAGACAAAAATTCCTGGCTCATAGAACCTTAGATTTTAGTAGGAGTCTTGTCAATTTGTATAAAATATTTAGTACATTATAATTAATATAAAACATTTGGTATTGCAAGTGCAAGGAGGAAAAATAAAGCAGAGAAGTGGGACAGAAATAGGAGTGTTGAAGGTCAGTAATGTAGAAAGGGGTGCCATTCTAAATAGTGTGGCCAGGGAAAGCCACAGTGACTTGAGTATAAATCTAAAAAGAGGTGGAGCAAATCATGAATATGTAAGAAAAACTGGGCTTTTTCAGGGAAGTATAGATAATTAAGCTTGATTCAGTTTTTTCCATGAAATGTTTGTTAAACCTATATCTTGGTAAATATTTAACTTTTAAAAATCCTATTAACATACTCATAAGTGTTATGTTATTGAATACTATACTGTAATACAAGGAGTAGAAGAAATAATGCTCTTAAGTTTACACTCAAGGAGAGCTATCTAAAAAATTAATACAAGCTAATATATAAATGTTAAGTGATTGAGAAGAGACTTTAGAGAAAAGGGAGAATTCCTTGGGGAGCAGCATTATTCCCCATATGTCCTGGAAAGAAAAGGAAATGACATTTGAGCTGGACCTAGCAAAAATAGGTAGAATTTGGATTAGCTTGAAAGTGTAGTGTTCTTTGAGTGTGTGTAAATAGGAGTTCCCCAAAGGCATCGTTCCCAATAGCAATAACATTGAATGGAATGTGGTGATTAGTAAATGTAATTAGTGAAATTAGTGAAAGTTATTATAAGATGAAGTTTGGACAACTGTTCTATTATCTGTTGCTTTGTAAAACTCTGCCCAGAAGTATAACTTTTTAAAAAAGTTCATGTGTTGATGCAGTTCAATTGGTCAGTTTTCTATAGTCACTCATAGTACAACTGCAGACAAGTTGGCACATAAAGGATTTTTTTTCATGTCTGATGCATGGTTTGTTATGACTGGTATAGATGAGAGCAGGTTGCTTTGTCTTTATATGGTTGTTTCATAAGGCTAGTTTTAGCTTCCTCATTTTATAGTGGCCTCAGGCTAATCAGACTTCTAACAAAGTAGTGGACTTCCTCTGGATCAAGTGTTCCCAGAGACTGAGTCCAAGACCAAAGCTGTAAGACTTCTTATGACTGAGCTTGGGAAATGAAAGTCATGCATCTGCCTTGAGTTAAGGAAATGGAGAAAAGGATTTCAGTTCTCAGTTGAAAAGTGGCTTAAGCAGAAAGGTGGGGAGTTGACAGGGTTGATAGCAGCCATTTTAGAAACAAGCTTACCACCTTTATTTTTTCCTGTCCTATATCCCTTTATCCAAATATTTGTACTTAAACAAGTATTCATTCTAATTATGTGGGTTATAAGTTATTTTTAATCTTTAGACAAAAACCTCCCATTTTGATACTTAACTTGGCCTGATGTTATAAAAAAGCCCCTACTTTTTTTTTTTTTTTTTGAACTGGGGGTATCAAACCTGGACTTTCTGCATGCTAAGCAAGCCCTCTACCACCGAGCTACACACCCAGCCTGATCTTTTTGTTTTTTATTTTCTCTGTAATTAATCTTTTTTTCCATCTCTCTCTCCTTTTCTTCATACTAGGGATTGAACCCAGGGATGCTTTACCAAGGAGTTACATCCCCAACCAGTTTTGTTTTGAAACAGGGTCTAAGTTGTTCAGGCTGGACTGAAATTTGTAATCCTTCTGCTTCAATCTCCCGACTAGCTGGGATTACAGGCCTGCAACTCCATGCCTGGCTACCTGCCCTATTTCTTTTTCTTTTTTTCACATTTTTTAGCAAGAATGTGTTGTTTTTATTTGTTTTTGTATCAGAATAGTACATAGCAGTTGTGTTCATTTCAACAGAGTCATACATGCATGGAATTTGATTTACTCCATTTCAGTCCCCATTCCTCTCCTTCTCTCCCTTCCCTCCCCCATTCTCCTTCCTCTACTGATCTTCCTTTATTGTGTTTATTTATTTGTTTTTGAACAGTGCTTTTTACATGTACATAAAGCTAGGATTTCCTGTGGTATGTTTATATATGCACATAGTATGATTTTGTTAAATTTATTTAGCTTTTCCTCACCTTTTCCATCCCTCTTTCCTCCTCCTAGATCATTTTCTCCACTGATTTTCCCTATATCTTCATGATATCCGATCCCCCACCATTTTGCCCTTATTTTGCTCTAGCTTCTGCATATGAGAGAAAACATTCAACTCTTGATTTTCTGAGTCTGGCTTATTTCACTTAGCATGATGTTCTCCATTTCCATCTATTTACCAGAAATGCCATAATTTCATTCTTCTTTAAGGCTTCAAAAACTTCATTGTATATATATACTTCATCTTCTATTGATGGGCATCTGGGCTGGTTCCACAATTTGGCTAGTGAATTATGCTGCTGTAAACATCGATGTGGCTGTATTGCTATACTGTGCTATGCAATATTTCTTGATTATAGTAATTTCTGCTGGTATTTCTTTCATCTACTTAAAATCGGAGTTTTCTTAGATCTGATCAGGAATTTTTTGAGCTCAGAATTCTAGTAAGAAGATTGGTATTTTATTTACATGATTATAACTTAAGAAATTATTTTAACTGGACTTCAAAAACCAGTATGTGGGGCATGACTGTGCCTTAAATGACTTTTGCTGTTTGAGTCTTAGGGGTGTTATGCTTGCCTGTGTTTTACTTCAAGTACACCTAACGTCAAGTTATCTAATTATATTTTGTTATCTTAAGTGTTAGAACTTGTTGATTGGCTGGCTGTATTGGTGTCATGCTAGTAACCTTGCTGTAGGTCAGTCTTTTTCAAAACATTTGTGAATGAGTAATTGGGG